TTTAGGTTTTCCATGAAGCAGACTTGATTTATTTCTACCGTCTAAGCACTTTAAAAAAAAAAATCAGGAAGTCCTATATATATTAATTCATCCCATGGAATTAATACACATTAATATAGTATTATATACAATATTATTTCCCACATTTCTACCTAGCTGAAATACAGGTAAATTTTTCCAAGAAAAAGTCAATTTATAAAAATTAACACTAATGTATTTGCAATAGCCAAAATACTCCTACATGATATTTTGCAGTAATCCTAATTTACAATAACTCTATGAATACGACATATAATAGAATAACAGAGTCGGAAGGGACCTTGGAGGTCTTCTAGTCCAACCTCCTTGCTTAGGCAGGAAATCCTACACCACTTCAGACAAACGGTTATCTAATCTCTTCTTAAAAACTTCCAATTTTGGAGCATTTAAAACTTCTGGAGGCAAGCTGTGAATGCTGCAACACTGGAGGTTTTTAAGAGATTACATAACCATTTGTCTGAAGTTGTGTAGGGTTTCCTGCCTAAGCAGGGTGTTGGACTAGAAGACCTTCAAGGTAGGTCCACCTCCTCATAGAGAGGGTAGTTTCTTTTATTATATAACATTTTTAGATTGATCAAATGATGCAGACTTTATGTGACAAGTAAAAAGAAAACAATTAAAGCTAATATAAAAAACAAAAACAGAAGCCAAATCTCAAAATCTTCCTTCAACACCAAAACCTATGGTCTCTAGTGCCTTCCCATCGTAAGAAGGGCTCCCCTAAAGGAGTGCAAAGTATTTCAAATTCAAAGCAGAAGTGTCCCAACGCTTTCCATAATGTCAGAATGGCACAGGGCCTTTTCTGATCAAATGAAACAACCTAGTTTAAACTGGGCCTTTTCACAACTGAAATTTTTCACAGGTCCCTATTAATAATAGCCTTTATTGTCATTGTACATCATGTATACAACGGAATTGGTTTAGCCTCTACTGGTGCAATCCATAACAGACAATGCAAGGCACTACAATTCCCAATTTATACAAGTAATTGGGGAAAGAAAGAAACTAGTTTCGGTAGGTATGTGGAGTGATTGTGGTTGTGTTTAGGAGTCCGATAGCCTATGGGTAGAAGCTGTTTTTAAACCTGTTTTTCTGGCTGGCTATACTTCTGTGTCTTCTGCCCAATGGCAAAAGTGACTCTGGCCAGGGTGTGGATCATCCCTAAGTTACCTTCCTTACTCTGCTAAAGCAGCGAGATCTGGCGATGTCATTCAGTCGTTTCTTGTGCCGAATTAATCACTCTCTGTAATGCCACAGTCTCTCCCACATACAGTACATATACCACATTTCCACTATGTTCTAGGAAATAGAAGACAAAAGCACTAACCGGATAGACACGTCATCAGCCCCAAGGCCAACATAGCCCCCGTCAGCACTGTTAAGCGATTGTAACGCATTGCCATAATGGCAGCAATGAAGAAGGTTTTATCGCCCAGTTCTGAAACAATGATGACAGAAATCGCAGCCACGAAGGCATGGATAAATCCTACGTTAGTATTATCTGAAGACTCTTCAGTAACCGAATGGACGGGAACAACGAGGGTAGGTCCTTTCTGAAAAGAAAAATAATACGTTTTTTTATTCCAAGTTTTAAGGAAATTAGTTCCTTATTAGGCCAACATCATGCTAAGAAAAATGCAATCCATTGGATAGTATGGAAAAGGGCCCTTACAAATTCCTTATGAATTAGCCAAGAAGTTTAAGTGCCAAAATAAACCCCCTGTTCAATTTACCTGGGGATGGACACATCTGAGAGTATATACAATACTTTCTTAAAATACTCATATTTTCACGTATAAGCACATCCATAGATAAGCAGAACGTCAAAGTACCATATGGGAAAGCCTTTTTATTTTATTTTATTTATTGGGTTTATATGCCGCCCATCTCGTCCGGAGGCAGCTTACAAACATGAAAATCAGAAACACTAAAAAGATAAGACTGTCATAATCATAGTTAAAATTTAGATTAAAAATACTTTTATCGTTGAAAGATTAAAAGGTGGGGGAGTACAACGATCACAGGGGAAGATAAGGTTGTCTCTCAATCTTCTAACCACAGGAGAATGATACCACACATACACACCCGTTGGAGCCCCAGGCCTGCTGGCAGAGCCAGGTCTTCAAGCCCTTGCACACAATCAGGAGGGTCAAATGCAGATCTAACCTCAGAAGGTTTGTTCCAAAGGGCAGGGGGTCACAGCAGAGAAGGCTCTTCTCCTGCAGCCTGCCCACCACTTTTCCTCAGCCGAATGGGTCCTTAGCATGCCCACTCTGCCAGCAGAGGTGGGATCGGCCAATCCCAATGAAGTGAGATGGTTCCTCCGGTAGCCTGGATCATGCCATACAGGGCTTTAAAGGTAATAACCAAAGCCTTGAGTTTTACCTGGAAGCAAACCGACAACCAATATAGCTCACGGAGCACTGGTGAAACATGGGGGCTCCAAGAACTGCCCACGTTGCTACTTTCTGCACCAGCTGTAGCTTCTGAATCTTTAAGGGTAGCCCCATGTAAAGTATCTACAGGTGGCACACTTTTTTCATGGTACTTTTGTTAAAAATTTGAGGGTCGCCTTATCCATGGATGGGCTTATATGAAAGTATATACAACATTTGACTAAACTTTTTAAATTTAGAAGCGTTATGGTATCATAAATCTGAAGTTGGTATCAACACTTAGAAACCACAACCTTCAACAGTATTTCTTACAATATCGTTTTGAATATTCCTTAAATTTTCTGTAAACATAAACCTGTGGGCAGCCCAAAGCCACAGAGCCAGGCAGCATACAAATTTAATATATTATAAAACAATCATTTCATGTTCAGCTATTCTCCTTGGTATTTAATGTAAATTGTTTCCTCAAGGTTTTCATTTATCCCTGCGGAAATAAAAGTCCAAAAATGATCTGAACTTTAGATGTTGGATGTTGACTCATTAGCATTCAATTTTTCATATTTTATTGTTATGGCACTTGGCCCGTAGCTGCAATTTATCTGCATTTCTTCAACAATAAATTGTAGTCACTCCCAACAAATTTCTACTTACCTTTAATTCATCTTACTAACTAATTATTTATGAAGCATATTTGAAGGAATTAACTATATGTAGCATTGAGAAAAAAAATACAGAAAGCAGATACAATAGTTGTTTTCAAGTACCTGAATATATGTCACAAAGCATTTCTTCGAAATCTATTATTGTCCCAAAATAAGGGCTTAAGAGTAATAGAAAATAAATATCAAGAAAAAAATTTCCTAACAGTAGGAATGGTTCATCAAGATTCACTTTACTAACCAGAGAGTTATATGCCTTAAATGACCATTTCTAGCTTGGTATATTATATCACCTAGACAATCGTTGATCTGTGACTACGTACAATATATAAACATTCATAACAAGCAATATTAGTTTTCACAAATGCATATAAGATCCAAAATATAATTTCACAAAGGACTGTAACAAAGACAGCAAAGGTTTCATAAGGTTTGTTAAAGTAAAATGAGAAACCTATTTAAATAGGGAGAATTAAGCCAGAGGCATTCGATGCATCTCCTTAAAAAATATTCACAATCAAATCCCCGCAATCACAACCACACTTTTCCAAATACTGCTTCAAAAAGAGCAATGGCAGACCAGACCAACGAATGAATAAAATGATCTTTGGATTTCAAGCCAAGTACTTTTTCCAGATAGCTGGGACTCTAATGCAAAGTCATATCTAAACTGCCACCAGAACTGAGATCAATATAATACTATTCTTCTATCTGCTGACCTTCTAAATCCAAGTTATTTTATCTCACTATTTAAAGGTAATATATACAGGTATTCCTTGACTTTTGACCACAACTGAATCCAAAATTTCAATTGCTAAGCAAGACAGTTGTTAAGTGAGTATTGTCCACTTTTACGACCTTTCTTGCCACAGCTATTAAGTCAGTGTTTCTCAACCTTGGCAAGTTGAAGATGTCCGGACTTCAACTCCCAGAATTCCCCAGCCAGCATTTGAGTTGAAGTCTGGACATCTTCAAGTTGCCAAGGTTGAGAAACACTGTATTAAGTAAAGCAATGCAGTTGTTGATCTAGTATCACGGTTGTTAAGTGAATCTGATTTTCCCCATTGACTTTGCTTGTCAGGTCACAAAAACTGGTCACATAACCTCAGGACACTGAAACCATCATGCATTCATGCCAGTTGAAAAAAACTGATAACATGATGATGGGGAGGATGCCACAATGGTCATAAGTGTGAAAGACCGTCACAAGTCACTTTTCTCAGTGCCACTTTAATTTTGAACAGCCACTAAACAAATGGTTATAAGTCAAGGATTACCTACATGCTCTTTTTGAATACATCTGCTAACTACCTATCCTAACCCAGAGATTAAAATACAACTGTAGTTTTAGAATATGTTTCTAGAATATACTGTGCTATTTCTAGAATACTAGAAATAGAATTCTAAGAAAAGTAAAGTAACTGCAAGTTCTATTTTTAAATAAGTGAAATTACCAAATACTAGCGCAGTGTTTCTCAACCTTGGCGACTTTAAGTCCTGGGGACTTCAACTCCCAGAATCCCCCAGCCAGCACAGCTGGCTGGGGAATTCTGGGAGTTGAAGTCCCCAGGACCTAAAGTCGCCAAGGTTGAGAAACACTGTATTAGCGAGTGTCTTTTTTTAAAAAAGTGATTTTATAGTCTCGGGATAGTTTTGTCTTCACAAATGAAATGTGAATCCAAGTTTCATGCACTTTCATCCATAAGCTAGTGTTTCCTGATTGCAAATCTTCACCTTTACTGATTGTTGACAGGCTAAGAGTTTTTCTTTCATTACAAATATTGTCGTAGACCCCAAAGAAAGCTAGTTCTTATTTGTCTCAAACATTCCCAACCAGGTGCTATAATAGTTCAGGAATAAAAGCAGATGTTATCATGCAAAATGCATCCAACATGTTTCACCCTGTCTGCTCTTTGTCAAAATTCAGAGATTTGCCCTACCATGAAACACTCGCTTGTAGATGAAAGTGCACGGAACTTCGATTCACATTTTATTTCTGAAGACAAAATTATCCTGAGACTATAAAATCCGTACTTTTTAAAAAAGACACTCTTGCTATTATTTGATAATCAGTATACTACTGAAACTTTTGAGTCTTGTAACCCTTAACTAGGCAAAATAGTTCATTATAAGGCAAAAGTTTTCCAACCAAGATATCTTGAATGGCCCAACTTACAGAATGGGTCCAAATTTTGGCACCCATGAATCCCATGGAATTGAAATTTGGCAAATTTTATAAAACGGCTTATAACTTAAGAATTATCACGAAGTACTTTATGACAAAACAAAATGTGATAAAACATTTCCCATGGCCAATTCCTGATATTTGTGCTATACAATTCTACTTGGCTACTTTTAAGGTGGATACATCTCTGAATATCTCCCTCAATTTTTAAGAACTTTTAAAATTACATTAGAAGCCCTGTTATTGTGGAAGGCATTTGGTAAAGAAATATCTCCGAAATGATGACCCAAGAAGTCATTGGTTGTCTAGTCTATATTAAAATTTAAGCTGGTCATTCCCTTTTGTTTAAGCAATGAATGGCAAACCTCAATTTATAATTTATAGCAAAGGAATATGAGGGAAGTCACCTTTTAATAGTTTAGAACTTCTCATGAAATCTGATTAAACAATGCCTGAATGAACAGAAACATCTATGATTATAAAATTGGGTTCCAAGAAGTGCTGAGCAGTTCAACACTATGCAGGCATTATGGCAAGATATTTAATTCAGCACAACTGAAAGAAATAAGAAATTGATACATAACAGTAAATTTACAGTCTTGCTTAGAAAAACAATTAAGATATATGGGTTAAACTAATGTGTTGCATATTCATAAAATGACAAATTATCGTCATTTCACACTCGGAAACTATTATGCAAGTCCACGACTTTCTAAGAGTAACTTGAAAAAAACAACACATTGTGTAACACAATTTGAACTGTCATTCTCCAATTCCAACGATCAAATCACTGAAATATATTTACTTTTCGAGACCTTGAAAAGATCTTGCTGAAAGGTCACCATGATCTGTAACAGGTGAGCCAATTGATTTTGTGCAATTTGGCAACATCACTATTTCCAAATCAGCCTTATTAAGCTAACAGTAGACAGTGTAACTGTTCCTAGCGGGATTATATCAGTTTCTTTCAAAAAACAAGGTGTAAAATAGATTTAAGTAATTTTAGGAAGATGTGAACCATAAATTACTAATACTGGTGTTGTCTGCAGTTCGTCAGATGAGTATATAAAACAAGCTAAGCATGTGTCATATGGATAAAGAGCGTATAGGTTACTGTAAAACAGTGTTTCTCAACCTTGGCAACTTGAAGATGTCTGGACTTCAAGTTGCCAAGGTTGAGAAACACTGCTCTAAAAGGCCAGGCATTTTAATAAAATACTTTTAGTTGGATAGTCTACCAGCCTTCTGATTTCTTTCCCCCTTCTGAGATCCAACAGGACTCTCCTCTTTGCAGTTTCCTACGATTTCTATGAGATGTG